GTGGAGGTGTGAATAACCTTCACCAGAACATGATTTCAAATGCCATTGTTCATTATAAAACAAATGTAATTATTCAAAATGAGATTTAGCTCAAGTTTTGCTTTGTTTTTAATTAAATGAGAACTCGAGGATGCTGAAATGTACATAATTATTCACCTCCAAATGACAATCTTAGGAAGAAATTGTTTTTTCACCCCAACTAAATTATGCCTGATCTATAACCTCATGAAAGTCCAAACTGTAATTCATTAATTGTAGGTGTCACTTACATCAATGCCATCCTCCCCTGGAGATCCATCAGGACCAGGCTCACCTGACTCTCCCTTTTGACCCTGTAAAGTGGTTCACACATGACAAACACTCAGTTATTTGAGTATGACTTCTGAATGATAGTGTAAATATATAAATATCAGCTGTGGTTACTACTTACTGCTGGTCCAGGAGGTCCAGGAGGGCCTTTTTCACCCTGTAAATCGGAGAAAAAACATGAGCAATGATAACTGGGAGAGAGCAGACAGTGCCAGTATAAAATATGGGGACAAATCACTAACAGCAAAATAATAAAATAAAATAAAATAAAATAAACCTCAAATTCTCATGGCCTCTGCTAAATGTAGCATGTTAGCATAGGTCTATAGTAGTTGAAGTGGATCAAAAAAGTTAATCAAAGTTGTTCTAAGACAAGAACGCGTTTTGGTTTTAGGTTTTAGGACAACTTTGATGAAAGGTTTGGATCCACTTCAAATGTTGACTACTGTATATGCTATTAATATGTCAAAGAAATATGTAAAAATAAAATGTAAAAAAAAATGATACATATAACTCTACCAACAAACAAGCTTCTTCTCCACCCTGATCTCTTTATAAGGTCAGATTTACAGTATTTTGAGTAGTGCTGTCAAACGATTAATCGCAATTAATCGCATCCAAAATAAACGTTTTTGTTTACATAATATATGTATGTGTACTGTGTATATTTATTATGTATATATAAACACACACCCATAGAGTGTTTTTTTTTTATATTTACATGTATATAAATGTATATATTTATATTCTCATATTTTATATTATACATAAATATATACAATATATAAACATAACATATTTTTTAAATATATACATGCATGTGTTTGTATTTATATATACATAATAAATATACACATTACACATATTATATAAACACAAACTTATTTTGGATGCGATTAATCGCGATTAATCATTTGACAGCACTAATTTTGAGTTTGTCTCAGAATTCTATATACAATAACCACTATAAGAATGTGTTGATGAATATATGTATGCATTTATCACTATTTATGACTACAAAATCTAAATATCCTGAAATAATAGAGCTTATGGAGGAACATGGGGATCCTGTTTCTGTTTTTGATATGCAATGGATCAGTCAGGCCTGTTTATCCTGCTGAGTGTCTTTATACTGAATCCAGCCTAGGCCACAACTGTATCAAATAACCAACATCTAGTAGCACTCTCTCAGTATGGGAAAGAGGCAACCTCTAACAGAACCTTTTTGTGTGATTATTTTTATTTCTTGCGCCCTCTGTTGGCAAGAGTTTGGTAGTGCAGATTAATACAGGGCTCATGAATCAAGGTGCACAATGCCTGTCTTTGTACCAGCTCGACCTGTGGTGCAGCCAGGCAGCTCCAATACTCACATCAATGCCGTCGGCACCGGGAGTTCCAGCGGGGCCAGGGGGACCAAGGGGGCCCTGCGGTCCGGGTGGACCGGTCTAAAATAAAACACATGAATACAGTTTCAGTTTAATCCTTACTAAAGGCTGTTTACTGATATGCACTGACAGATGCTTCTAAACAGCATTCTATATTTAACTTCCACATAACTAGCCAAATGTATGCAATTTATTCTAAAATGTTATGTTAAGAATTAATTCATGTTGTCATATTATTAATTCATATAATTAGCTGCATTTCTGGCAATTTACATAATTAGGTGAATTCCTCTAGCATGCAAGTCTAAGTGTGGATAATAAACAAACAATACAGCCTATATTGTTTGATAATGCTTGTTGTGACCTCAGACTAGTATTATTTTACTATTATTTATAATACTATAATAGTATTTATTAATATTTTGATATATTAGCTTTTTAATTTAAGTTTTTAGTAATTTTTTTGCATGCTTTTGTTTACGTGATTTTTTTAGTTAGTCTTAGTTTTTCGTTTCAGTTAGTCTTAGTTGCTTAGGCCACATTTTTTTTAATTTTTGTTTAGGTTTTTTTAAGTGAAGGTTTTGTTTAATTTCAGCTTTATTTCAATTACTCAAAAATACTTTTATTAGTTTTAGTTAACGATAAGAACACTGCCTCAGACATGTTTACACGCTCAAATTTGATAGACAGAACAAGGTTTATGATGAAAAATAAATTAAAAGCAGAGGCTGTGCAATCAGGGTATCCGGGGTGGGAAAAGAGAGGCTGGGAATGTTTACACAGACCCTCCCCCATTCAGCATCAAAGATACATCTGTTTTTCAATGCATTATTTGATAAGGTGGTAGACTCAAAATGAATGCACATTCATTAAATCTATTGCATTTTATTCATATGAGCTGCATGCAAGCATTGGGCTGAGGTGGTCCTTCTAAATCTGACAAGTATGTGTTATTCTCCTGAGAACAGTTTCAGGTTCTGTCTGTTTGAATAGCAGCTTCTGGTATTTTCAATGGCCTCATTGTAGTCTCTCCTTTTCTACCTTCTCCTCTCTCTGTTTATCTGTCTCATGTTCACTTTCAGCTTCCTATTTTATTCAGCAGCTTTCCATTTATTCATTTCATTTACTGAACTGAATTGTTTAAGCGTTCAGAATCAAACAATAACACTGACTGAAGATAGTCTATTGCTAAATACCAGGCCTCTTGTATCTGCATGTTGTAGAAATCAATATTATCCACTTGGGCAAATTTTCAGAAGATCAAAAAAACTCAAAAGTCTTGCAACTTTGAGGATCAAAAGGTAATCTACCAAACTAATGAACCAAATACACGAATTCCATCAAAATTAACTTTATCTATTGGCATTTTGACTGGCAATCCAGTCCAATTCACAGTGAATCATATCTCAATCCATAAGATGTTCTCCCAGATGCATGATCTCATTCTCAAGATCATCCAGCACCAAGAAAAAGTAGATAACCGCAGCCAAACTCACCACTTGTGATAAGGCCAAGCAGAGCACCTGCAACAGGACCAGGCTTCTGAAGATGATGAAGAATCTATCCATGGTGAAGAATCGCTATTCAAAAACCAATCGTCCCAGCGGTTCCTCCAAACCTTGCCACCCTCTCTCCTGGCTTCTCAGCCCAGGTTGATGGATCCAGGAAAAAGAAAGGTGTGTGTATGTGAGTGTGCGCGCTGCCCAGGACAGGGAAGAAAAACACAGTGGCAGGGACCTTGAGGGGAGGAATGAGAGAGGTGTAACCCAGCCCTACAGCCAGCCCCTGAGAACTCAGGGAGCTCAGAGAACCCAACGCACTGAGGACTGGACAGACCTGAGAAGCCCACACATGCGCAGGAGGCGGAGACTTCTGATGATTGTCCATGCATCCAGCAGAGCTCTAGAAAGCTAACTGGACACAGCTGCATTTGCGTGTTTCTCACGCCCCCAATTACTGAATACCTCAATTGATTGTTGAATATGTACGCTGGACATCCAGTCGTTGGAACCCCAACTGAGGTGGTACTAAAAAAGTACCAGGTACCAGGTACTGTACCCAGTGGAAAACCCCCCAAAAGCGAACCGTACCGAGCCGTACCGTGCCATACCATGCAGTGGAAAAGCGCCATTAGTGCACAGTCAGTGGAGCTTCTGGACACTGGAATGTTTGTTTCTGAGGCTATATAAACAGATACTCAGATCTGTATTAGGACGTTTAGACATGCAGCCACAAAATGTACAACACAAGCAACTTTTCATAGAAATTACATGACATATGCATATGACCAGCTGAACTCAAGGTGATTTTTTTTAAATACTTTATTTAGTTTTGTGATCATTAATTGATTTGTAAAGTCAGTTCCCGACTGGCATATAGCAGTCTAATGACAAGAAAATGTCCAAAATCAGCATAATTTTGTCAGTTGTAAACATTATAGGCAATATTTGTCACACTTTTTTACTAGCGAATATTTTTCGGGGTGGATTTATTTAAAAAAAAATCTAAAATAAATATACAGTATGTTTATATTACAGGTCAAACACATGACATTTTGACATTTTGTGTCATTTTGTGTGTTATTTTAGTATTACTAATATACTAACATAGTATTTATTATTTAGTATTTTAAATTAGTGTTAGTTTTTAATGTTAATTTTAATTGTTTTTATTAATTTATTTTAATGTTAGTTTAAATATTAGTAATTTTGTTGTATGTTTTTGTCATTTTTTAGATTATGTTTGTTTTAAACATTTCTATGTAATGTTCGTGAATTTTTATTTTCATTTTAACTCCAAATTAGACTTCTTATTAGTCGCCATAGCAGCATTTCTAATCGTGTCTAATTTTATATTTCTACTGTATTTTATTTCAGTTTTATTTCAATTAACAAAAAAATGTTTTTACTAGTGTTTAGCTGTAGTTTTTGTTAATGATAACAACACTAATATGGAATGAGCTGTGGACAGTGGGATCTGCCCTTAAATATTCTATAATGGGCTTTTAAACTAAACACTAAAAATCATTGAACACAATCATTGTCACAATCTTTGTAATTAATACATTTTAACACATGAAACATAATAATAATAATAATAATAACAATAACAGTAATAATAGTAATAATAATACACTGGGAACACATTTTCAACCTTTTTGTTAAAATCTACATACTGCATAAGTCGGACAAAGTTAAAAAAAATGTTGCTTAGTGTGTGAAAGCAATACAACACCACTGAAAGGGGAAAAAAATCTTCGAGTAATTTCACTTTTGACTCAAAACCTTTAGTTAGCTACTAAGAAATGATCCTTAAAACGTCTTGCCTGCGTGACAACACGAACATGAATGAATGTTACACGGATGTCCGCAGTGTCGTTTTTCCCCGCAGGGTGGCGCAATTTCCCATATTCTAGAAATTACACAAAGAAAGAGGTTGTAATTCACATCATTGAACCGCGAACATCACGACCGCAATTGTCTATCAGATGTTGGATTTAGTTGTGCGATCTTTTAGACACTGAATGTTTTAAACAGCACATGTCTGGCGACCGGAAGCAGGCACAACAGAGGCAGTGCTGTGACTAAGCGAGAGTAATAACGTTACTCAAGTGTGCTCGATATGTGTCTCTGATACTGCGGGTGGAAAGTTGGGTGTCAAGGACCAGCGAATGTACAGCGAGGAATATGGTGTTGTTTTTATATGAGCAGTGGTTCAATGCCTTTTCCTCTTCCTGGTAAGATTAGCGGAAGCCAGCAGTACAGTAGTGTGTTTTTCTCTTCATCTGCAGCTGCAGCCGGTTGGTTGTGACAGTCAGCGATCCGCTTCCCGGTGTGTTTCATTAACGGACAAACATCTGAACATCTTCTCAGCGGCGTTGGACTATTTATTACTGAGCAGGTATATCAGCGATACACTGATTTCTGAAGATGACGGGTAAATCAGTGAAAGACATTGACCGCTATCAGGCTGTTCTCACATCTCTTCTCGCGTTAGAGGAAAACAAGTTTTGCGCTGACTGTCACGCCAAAGGTACGATTCATATTTCACAGTATATTTGCATTGAACAAATAAAAAATACATTTTTAGAAACTGAGTTTATGTTCAGTGTTTGTGTATGAGAGGTTTGGGTTAGGCCCTGTGTGTTTGACATCAGTTGGTTGGTGTGATGATGTCCGATTCGTGAACGAATCGTTCTTTATGAATCGGATCTTGTTGATGAATCGGTTGAACCGGTCTGGGTTTGCAAGTTTCCCAAAAGGCTTGTAAGCCAGTTTATTGTAGAGACAGTAGGCGCGTTTCCATTACAGATTTGCGCAAAACTCTGGCGATATTTTATAAATGTCGATAAAAAAAAGTATTGCGAAATGACGGCGTTTCCTTTAACCAATGTTATGAGACTTAAACGTAACCTTTTGCCTCTCGCGATATGTCATGGCAATGGATTTTGGTGGGATTTTGGAAGGGAAAGCCCCTTATACTGGAGCGGGGCCACTTATGAAGTATTTCTTGGAGGTTACAGTACACTGAAGAATGATCATATTACTTTTTACATACGCCATGTGACCTGTAAATGCGAAAAAGCCGTTTCCATTGCAGTTTTGCGAATTATTCCTTTTTCGCATTGACTGAAAAACCACCTCATGCGAGCGTAAAAACTTTTTTGCGATATATGGGAGTTTTTGCGAAATTGATGCGTTTCCATTAGGCGTATTTTCAATTCGCAATTTCAATTTGCGCAATTTGAAGGGTAATGGAAACGTGCCTACTGATGAATCATTATCTGACATCTTGTCTTTTATTTACCTTTTTATTTTATTTTTATTTATTAACAGCTGTGGGATACAACTGCATTATTAATATCACCACAAGGACAGTAAATTCAGTGAATCATTTTGCTTCATGTTTTCATCAAGACTTAAACGTAACCTTTTGCCTCTCGCGATATGTCATGGCAATGGATTTTGGTGGGATTTTGGATATATTTATTCAAAGCAGGCTTATGAGGGTATCTTTACAGAAGCAGCAAAGAGAGCTGCTTCAGAAACGTGCGTGGCGCGGCTGGAATAAACCATAGACTGTATAAAAACATAAACACAAGCATGGAGTGGCCGTAATCAGCTTCAGTGGCCGTATCAGAGCCACACTGCACCGCAGACGTTTTTTTTTTTTTATAATGAAGTAAAGTAGCTTCGAAAGAGATGGGTTTTCAGCTGTCGCTTGAAAATTGCTTCAGTGACCGTATCAGAGCCACACTGCGCCGCGGACGTGTGCAGTGTAAATTGTCTAAGCATTAATGGTAGGGAAGCCCCTTATCCTGGAGACCGGCCACGTATGAAGTGTTTCTTGGAGGTTATAGAACACTGAAGAATGATCATATGACTTTTTACATACGCCATGTGACCTGTAAATGCAAAAATCGGGCTAATATCGTGCAGTGTGAACTCGGCATAAGTTAAACATAAGTATGACTTGATTGTTTTTATCAACAAGCATATGAAACGAGTTGGTTTAAAAATAGCATTTTACAAAACTTTTCTTGCCATCCTAGTGATTTTAATGTTGTGAATGTTGTAAATGCCAATTATTTACGTTCTAAAAAGACTTTGTTTTTTTATAAGCTGGTTGGCTGTACTGAAATGGGACACATTAAATAATAAACACCTTTATTAACAAAACTTAATTAAAAATCATAACCAGGAATATGTCTTGATGGCCTTATTAAAATGTTTTATAGCATAAAAAGGCCCACGTGATGACAAAGTCCAAACATTAATTACCTGAATTGTTTTCATACTAGTTCTTTGAAAAGAACTGTTTGAAAGAACCGATTCACGTTAACGAATCACCATTTGTCTGGTGTGATTTATCTGCGCACACACATACTATTTGTGCAGGTGTGTTGCAGGTGCATAAACAACATGTTACAATACAAACATACAGTTATCCTTTATTAAATCTCGTGTCTACTAAAGAGACAACAGAAAACATCCTGTTGTTTTTCACATGCATAAAAAAAAACAAAGCAGATCTATCATTTATCCTCCCATTTTGTCAGCTACAAGGTATAATTTTAAGCAATCGAAAACACTCGTGAAAGTAGTAGGCCTTGTGCAATACAGCTGTTTTTGCAACTAATTCTTGCATCAGCACAACTTTTTTAAATGTTTTTCTTAATGCTTATAGACAGGATTTATTTATTTATTTGATTGTTTATTTTTCTAAATAACCATTGTATTGATTTGGCCATGGGATAAAGAGTTGAAATAACATTTTGTTTTCAGTTTGAGATTGCACTGAAGATACTGCTGTTGTGGTTAAATATCACATTAACTTGTGTTGTACAACATTGCACAAATCACAGTACACACACACATGCACAGCTGCGCTGGCCAAACTATGCTGCTTCTGTGATTCTGCTTGTCAAACACTTTATGTTGGCAGACTTCCCTGTTTGACCTCCAGCCCTTAAGGGACACAGTTCTGCCCTTCTCCTTATTCTGAGAGGCCGGCTCCTATTGGTCAGATGTAATCTGTTCCCAGCCCTCCCTGTCTTGTACTGCCCTGTACTGAGCTTGAGGACACCCAAAACTTCTCATGTCCTCTCTTAACCGTATTCCAGTTGCACGCTGTTCTATTTGAATGCTCCACTACTTGCTTTGAATGTGCCACTTGGTTGTGTAACATGTTTGTTCCCTTTTTCATGCTCTCTAAAACGCAAATGTGTGTAAACGTTGTTGCCCTGGGAGGGAAGAAGTGTAGTACAGCCACACCATTTCCTCGCTTTGAAAAAAAGGAACTGATCCTACAAGCAGTGAAATTCAGTTACAACTCCATGTCAGAATCAAGCCAGTCTTGTAAATAGTAGCTTGCAGTGGTCAAGCAAGGCTAACAGGTTAGATTATCAATGCGACGAGTCATTTTCACATGTACAAATGTGGACTTTGCTCACACAAAAAACAAACAAGCTGTATTTTGTGTTTAAATTGTGGTGGAAATTGTGTTTAATGGTTAACTGGCATTTGACTTTGACATTTTGTGCTTTTTTAACTCATTACTGCTTCTCTGTATAGCACTTTGCTGTAGTGATACTATGCCTTCACACATCTGAATAGGGCAGGTGGTTCAAAGATCTAATTAGCAACTTGTGCTGAAGAGTTTTAGGTGTGGAAATAATCCTGTGTTTCTCTTTACAGGCTACACAGTTTCCATAGCAAACAAGAGTTGTGCATAATAGGGAAGATTGTTCTTATTGTTGAAGAGTGTCATGTGATAGACAGAGTATTGTGTTGGTACTGCCCTGCCATGTGTTTTGACTGCAGGGCACAAAATTAACTTTTATGCCACACCTGCCAGTGATGGATAAATTGAGAAACTTTACTGACCATGAATATTTCTACAGTAACTGAGTTTTAGTACAGTATAGATTTCCTTTGATGGCTTCCTTTAAGCTTGTTATGCTAGCAACATTGTGTGGCGGTAACTAGGTACCTGTTTCTTCCTGTTTTGGCTGAAGCTCACTTTCAGTAGTCTGTAATTTAAAGTTGAGCTGCAATCATGGAGGTAATACAAGTAGCTATAATAATCTCTGGAGTTCAACTGATACTGTCTTTTTAGCGATCGATTCATTGTGCTGCTGGAACAGCAGGAACTGTGTATCTCCCATTAAAGGGCTATTTCTTATCTTCATGTCTGTCATCGTTTACACTTATCTGTTTCTCATTGTGTGTGGTCCTTTCAGTTCCTTTATTTCATTGTTTAGTGGCAGTTTGATTGTATGTGGGGGACTGTCTGTGTTTAAACAGCTGAATGAAATGGAAATCAGAGAACGGGAGTGGTTTTACGTGTGACCTTTTCTCCCAGAACACCTTGGTATGAGGCTCATTTGCATTCTCTTGTTCTGTGGTTGTCATGGAGATATCGCCGTGGAGGCTGGAGTGGATTGAGGATGTGATGCTGGAGGACACGATGGCTGTCTCTTATAGACCCTCTCAGTCTCTCACTGAGGAGCCAATGTACTTCTGTTCCAACACAGGCTCATTGGAAAAATGTGCCTCTTGCAATATTTCTACAAAATGTTTTGTTTCTGCTTGTGCATTGTGCTACGCTTTCAAAATAAAATGTTCAGCGTCACTAGATGTCAAATGTCACTAGATGTCAAATGTCACTAGAATGTTATTTTGCATTTAAGAATAACACAAAATGCGTAGCACCTATATTAAACCCTACCCTACCAACATAACCAGGTGTTAACCAAAGCAAACTTGAGATAAAAACATATTTACCATGTTATTTCAGCTTGCTTCTATAAGTGTTTTACCTTTTTTTTTTTATGGTGGCTTGTGTTTTGAGTGTTCAGCACCACAAGTGCAGTGCTGTAGGTGAGCCACCAAGCAATTTTACTTCATCAGAAGAGCCAATCAAATGGAGTTGGTTATGTAATGCAAATGTCAAAATGTATTGGTTTACAAATTGTACACTATTAAAAGTGTTTTATTGGTCAAGAAACCACACAAAATAATCGGCCCCGTAATTACATTTTGTTGTAATAGTAAAAGTTTTAAGTGATTTACTGGCACTAGTGGTCATTTTAGTTGGAAACTGCAGTGAATTGAATGTATAGGTACGTTTTCGGAGTTTTGCAAAAACTTCTGTTCTCTACTTTGATGCACTCAGCAACTCATAGCTCTAAATTCAAGAACTAAACAAACTAGATGTTGTCAGCGAATGAGAAAATGGTTGTAATGGTGTCTAATAAACTAGAGCAAGGATAGTTGAATGTATTTACAAAGACCCTTCTTTGAGGTTTCTGATCATTTTTAAGAGGCTATATCAGATGTTGATCCTGTGTGAGCTGCATCATGTGCTGGAAGCATCACTCTCCCTTTGTAACATTTTGTTTTGAGTTACACAGTTGTTATTTCTAGAAGCTGATGCACAAATAAGGAATGAATGAAAGGCTTTTATTCACATGGTTGCCACGTGATGCTCTTCACTTCACTGTACTGTACTCTCTACAGATCAGGAACATTGGTAAAGAGGCAAAATAAATGATCAAATATGAACAACTGATCTAAAGTGTTTAATTTGAATATATTTTAAGATGTTAAGACATTGAAGTAAATACTCAATGAACTTTTAGTGTTAAAGGGATACCCAAAAATGAAAATGTTGTCATCATTTACTGTACTCAGAAGAACTGTTTGGTTCTTCAACATTTTTTTGTGTTCAACATAAGACAGAAACGTATACAGGTTTGGAACAACATGAGGGTGAGTAAATGATGAGGGTGATTTTCATATTTGGGTATCCCTTTAGCACTAAAAGTTAATTGAACTATTCCTTTAATATGATTTATCACATTTTTTATATTCAGGTAGTTTTAATTTAATACATTATCTTGCATAGACATAAACAAAGTAAAAATAATAATAAAAATAAATATTTAAATGGAATAAATAATAAAAATATCTGTTTTAATGATAATTTTTACATAGTGGTTTTGTGTGTGTGTGTGTGTGTGTGTGTGTGTGTGTGTGTGATTGCATGTGACATGTGATTGCCATCCGAATCATAAATGTCAGCGTTTGTCCTTCCACACCAAGACTGAGAAATACAGGGTTGTGCGGTAAAGTAATTAAGCTGACATAGAGAAATTGGTTCTAAAGTCATTTTGAAAACCTTTTTTGAGACTTTATTTTGTTATTTAGTACCAATATCACACAATTAGGATGAATACAGGAAATTAGGATGAATATATACATTATTGGTACACTTTAGAATCTGCATCAGGCTGTTATTTCGGACCACAATAATGTTTGCATTCACATTCACCATGAATTTGACAAGCTAACACATTGCCTCTGGCAGCCCTCATTTAAATAGAATGTCTGGAAATGTGAACTTTAGTGCCTGTAGTCTGCACATTCTCAGGGTCTGACCTGTGTGGGTACTGCTTTGGCACACTTACAAAATGGCTGTGTGAATTAATACTTAGTTTAAAGATTGGTGTTAGTAATGTTGTACCTCTACTGCTAGGTGTTGCAGATGTCCTCCTTTAATAAGAGACATCATAACAGAGCTACAACCGTCGTGTCAGCTTTGGAGATTAGCATGAGAGTCAGACTGCAGTCCTAATACTGCTGCTCACAGACAGAGAGTTCATGTCTACATAATTAAGAACAAGGCTTGTCTTTATGAATTTTCATCCTGAATAAAACAAGAAGTCCATCTGCTCTGCTCTGGTTATTTTGCGATAGGAGAAGCCCTGTAGTTCCCAGAAAAACTGGCAGCCTGACAGGCCAAGAATCCCTCAACCCATTTGGAGAAACTGGGTCTTTAGTTCACAGCCCGGTCTGTGATTCCCCCGTAATGCTTTTCTTAGTACAGATCCATTTAGAGCTTCTCAGATTCTTGTTTTGAGACGTGTGACGTGTTGATCCATGTGGCTTAATGCATCCCGAACAGGTTTGCCTATGTATTAAAGAGAGTGTCCACTATCTGTGTGTTAGACCCCATGTTTGTTTGGTACACATCCTCTCACAGCAGGACCAACCAAAGTCCATGTTTCTGTTGGTCTTCTTTCTTGTTGTTTGGTTCAGGAGCGCTTTCATGCATCTTTTCTTGCATCCCTCTTTTGGCAGACTAGAGTGCTGTCTGTCAGAGGAACACATTGTAGATCACAGCATGTTAATGTCACTTTAACAGCAACATTACGACAGCTTTGCGGCCCTGTAAATTTCCACACAGACACTGTAAAAAAAAGACTCCTGTTAAGCTGGAGGGAATGTGTTCACTCTTTCTTGTAGATCAACAGTTGTCTGGAGTGTGTCAAGGAAATGCAGGGCTCCATATTAAAAACTGTCTCTGCCAGTAGCTCAAATTTGATCTGCCTACATACGATTTTAGCAACGTTGTACACTATGCAGTGCCATTCAGAATTTAGGGGACAAATAAAGTATGAAAAGAATGCTTTTCTTTTGAACTTTGTATTTGTCAAAGAATACTTTATGTAAGTGTAATAATTTTTTTAATCTGCACAGCTTTTCAACATTGATGATAATAAAAATAATAATACAATTTATTGAGCAGCAAATCAGCCTGTTAGAATGATTTCTGAAGGATCGTGTAACACTGAAGACTGGAGTATGCTTGAGCTGATGTCCTCCAGTAATACCGCTCAAGCTGATTACCCCTTAGCCATGAGAGAGAGAGAGGAGGGATATTTGTAGCTGGAGGATGAATAGGTAATCTAAAGAGGCCCACAGCACACAAGCGCTCATGAAAATTGTGTTTTATACAGCTGCAGCGAACCAGCATGCGTCCCGTTGGGAATATCCCTTTCCTCTGGCACAAGGCCATCTCACATTAGAGCCTGTGCCAAATCTCAGATGCGAGTGTGACCGTGAGCATACTGCAGACGTAAACCCAAGCCCTGGTGCTACATTAAAGGCCAAATCAACACATTTATAGCAGAATAAATATCAGAGCTCAGATTTCATGATTGGATTTTGGCTTTCCCAGCTTTTTTGGTACAAAGAAACTGTTAAAACAAACAAGGTTAGATGGTCTCGCCTATAGCCTCTCCAAGTACCCAACCACAGTTTATTTGTTTTATGTGCTGTTTAGGGGAGTGAATCTGAAATAGCATCAGATAATAGCACAATATTAGAATAGTGCAATAAATAAATGAATGTATGTATGTTAGTTATATGGCTCAAACAGAAGTCCACTTGTGCTTTTGTTAGTTCATTTATTTGAAGTACTTAGAAAATTAATTATGCAGTTCTGTTTGTGAATATTTAGTTTATTTATTTTTAAGGTTCTTTTCACTGGATCAAAACCATACATCACAACCAATGTAGTCCAATTCCTAAACAAATGACTCTCATGAGTTGATTCTTTTTCATTTATCACTTACTATATTCATACTATATTATAATGACAATGTGTAGACAAAAAATACACATTGTTTTTTTCCAGTAATATTTTACAAATATTCATGCATAAAATATGCCATCATATATATAGGACATTTAAAATATTAGTTTTTTAGGTAAAACTTTATTTTAAGGTGTCCTTGTTACACTTTACATGTACTTACTATTATAATAACACTTAATTATGCATATACATGCAAGCATAACCCTAAACCAAACCCTAACCATATAGTAAGTAAATGTAGTTAATTAATATTACTCCGTACTTAAATGTATAATTACACTGGAACAAGGACACCTTAAAATAAAGTGTAACCGATTTTTATAACACATTATTGTTAATATTATAACATATTACATTATATTACATTTTTTAATATAATTTAAAATAACCGCTTTCTATTTTAATATATTTTTTAAATGTAATTTATTCCTGTGAAGGCAAAATGTAATTTTCAGAAGCTACTACATCTTCATTGTAACACAATCTTTCAGAAATCAGTAATATGCTGATTTGGTGCATTAATATGCTGTTGTGCTGCTTGACATTTTTTGTGGAAACTATGGTACATTAAAATTTTTTTTTTTTTTTTGATAAATAGGAAGTTCAAAAGAACAGAATTTGAAACATGAATATTAAAATGTTAAATATTAAAATATTACAGTTTTTACTCTCACTTTTGAGAGTTTTTCTTTTCCTTTCCTACTCTTTTTGAAAAAGCTTTTGAGTTTTGTATGCAATACGCATGAGACTGTCAGCGGACGGCCCATGTGCGTGCCATATTGATGCTTACTCAAGGTTAGAGGCAAACTGTCTATTTTGTGTCAAATGAGATCCACTCAGATGAATATAAGCACAGCAGGTATTACCGTCCCAGGATGCTGTGTGCTTGTTCCAGAGAACTCTAAGCAATTAAGCAGACATGTTGCCACAACAATCCTCTGTGACATCACATCAGGAGACCAGCCAGAACAATAACTTAATGTAGTGCTGCCACCTATTGGCCAAAACTGATATTGCGTCAGCAGGAAAGCTCAATACTTGTGCTCAGACAGTCTTAGGCGTTGTCTTTGAAGATAGCTCGTCTCAGGAGAGTCCGGTTACATAATGTGTTTAAAGTAGATAAAATTGGGAAAATGGTGATAACAGCACGTATACTGTATGTGCAGCTTGAGGCATGGTTCTGATTCAGATGACTTTGTTGAAGGTGGTGTAGGCTTTATCATGACTATGCGCCTGTGCGTCTTCATACACGTGTGATTTAAGAGCAGTGGGAAGGACTACAGATGCTGCAGGTGCTGGTGGGTGTGCGTTATCAGCGTTGTGCCAGCGTGACAGTCCACATGACTGCCCAAACTGGATAGTCATTGCAGTGCGTGAAGCACCTTATTTTCTCTTCTAATGCCAAGCAGGATAATGTAAATATCACTCCTCAGCAGGCTCCCTCTATCTTTCGCTTCCGTCTGTCTGTGTTTTTCTGTCCGTTCTCTCCTTCACTGACTCATTAAATTGCTTCAGCCAGGGTTGGGCTGAATTCTGACTATGAGAACTGGCTCGCTTTCAATTCACAGAATGGCATTTGAATTGAATTGGCCACACCCCACAGGAAGTTGAATTGTAATGACAGGAAGAGGAATTTGTTGAATTTTAAATGATATGTGACACCATCTGCTATTGTGTAACTTCATGAAAATGAATGTTAGTGTCAAATTTTGTGACATGATCACAATTTAAAATAACTTTTTGAATAAATGAGAGCATTCCGGGAAATTAATTGCTCTTCCACAATGATTGATCAAATTAAAGTTTTTAAAGATGTAATGAAATACTTTTGAATTAAATTCCTGTATAAAGTGACATTTCAGTATTAATTAGGCTATTTCTATCATTTAAAAAAAAAAAAGTAGAATAAACTGTAGTTTTCTTTGCCCATCAGGTCCCAGATGGGCATCCTGGAATCTTGGAATCTTCATTTGTATCCGCTGTGCGGGAATCCATCGGAATCTTGGCGTGCACATATCACGAGTTAAATCTGTAAACCTGGACCAGTGGACTCATGAGCAGATACAGGTAAGCTTTATGGATCAAGGTTTCCAGTAGAAAGGGCTACATTTATGTGTATATGGCTGATTGATTTACATGTGTTTGTGTTGTGCTCAGTCTGTTCAGGAGATTGGGAATGCCAAAGCTCGGCGACTATACGAGGCCTTTTTACCAAAGTGCTTCCAGCGCCCAGAGACAGACCAGTATCCTTTAGCGCTTATATACAGTATGTGTGTGCAATGTTTAAGCTTCTTCTCCCCTTATGTTAAAGGTTTCCTTAAGCTACACCTTACAGAGCTGCTGAGATTTTTATCCGTGACAAATATGATAAGAAGAAATATATGGATCAATGCATTGACATCCAGTCCTTCAGGGTGAGTCCTGAAATGTTGGAATTAAAAATTGTCATTGTCATTTTATCTTTTACTTTGATTTTGTAAAAGAATAAAATTAATTTTCTTTACATTGTCAGAAAGAAAAGAGTGAGGCAGTGACGAAAGAGGTTCCTGTTGTTTTTGAAAAGATGAAGCTGGTGGGTTTCTGCATTTGTGAAATTATTATTTTTTTAATATTAATTTTATTATTTTTATTATAATAAATTATACAAATAATAAATAATATTGTAATAAAGAAATACATGTAATTCTACATATTGATTTAATGTGCTTTTTTAATCTTTCTAATTTAGATTATAATTGAATTATTTTAATATTAATAAATACTTTGTAGTCATATATTGAGGCCCTGGCCCCCTGTTTTAGAGCCATTAGTTTATAGACATAAAACCAGGAAGATAATTTTCTGAGCTATGCGTTCCTTCTGTAATTCCTATTTGGTTTTTAGAATAGCCATTTTTGATTTCCGAGTAAAATTGTGGTTAATAATACTTGAAGAGACTTTCATGCTTTGTTCTAACCATATACTGCATACCCATATGCATAAACTGAACACAATCACAAAACATTTTCATTTTAAAATCACATTAGAAATTTCTAAAGGAGCCTTCCAAGTTTACCTTCAAATCGACGCCTTGACTGAACGACTCTCATTTAAATAACAAAATGGTGTTTCCATCATTAACACATGATAATGTTTGTTTGTCTTTTAGAAAAAAGATGAGTCGCAACAATTCAAAAACAGTCCAAAGCAGTCACAGTCAGTTAATGACTTACTAGGACTAGGTAAGAAGCTAACAGACACACCATACACATCAGTACAATCACAATATGGATGCTTGATGTTGAAACTTTCTTTCTCAGACGCCCCTGCTCCTCAAGCTACCGTGCCCAATGGCAAACCAAGCACTAAACTCAGTCCTGCCCTCGACCTCTTTAGCTCTCTGCCTGCTGCCGTCAGCAGCTCAAACTCCTCCAGGAGCACGGTAAAGATTTTCATACAGCACAGAGTTTTCACTTCATTCTCACTGTCCTTTGACTTTCATGGATCCATGTTTTGAGTGATTAATGCATGTAATGCAATCAAGTAGTTTAAGTGTTTGTTTTTTCTCCTCCACTGTAGCCTAGCTCAGGGTCCATGCCCACTGGACGGGTAGCAGCATCAGTGCCTGAAAACCTCAGCCTGTTTCTGGATCCCCCCTCCAAAAGTGAGGACAGCGGAAAAAAGATGTCTAAGGACTCAATCCTGTCCCTGTATGGCAGTAAAGCACCACAAACAAACATGGCTGCTCATGGTGAGATTAGTTTCAGGATGAAGGCATATTTGAAATGGTTTCTGTCACTTTGTGCTGTTTATGCATGTTTATCTGTTTCTGTTTTAGCTGGCATGTACATGGGAGCAGCCCAGATGGGCTATGTCCCTGCTGCAGGATACGGCCAATACCAGGCCCTAGGTGCCCAGCAGGGCATGATGGGGCCTATGATGGCTCCACAGCTGAACATAGTGGGACAGGCAGGTGTCATGCCGCACACCAGAGTGGCAGCTGCGCCTCCGTACATGGCAGGGGTGCAGGGGGGCGTAATGGGAATGCAGAACGGGATGATGGGAAGCATGGCAGCAGTTCCTCAGCAGGCATATGGAGCACAGCAGGCCCAACAGCTGCAGTGGAACATCAGCCAGGTAACAAGCACTGAAATCACAATTACCATGCTGACTTGAAACAGCAAATATTTTATGCTTTGTTCACAGTGACATTTTTGAGTTTGTTACTGCGAGAACACACGTTATAAAGATTTTCATTTACGCACCCTCATGTTGTTCCAATCATGTATGACTTACTTTCTTCTGTGGAACACAAAAGAAGGTATTTTGAAGAATGTACTGTTTTTTTTCCCCTCCCGCGTATTTATCATGAATGGCGACTGTAGTTTTCAAGCTTCAAAAAACTTGCAAAAGCATAATAGGTATGGGATAAGACTCATACACTATATTGTAAGTCTTCTAAATTGAAATGATACAGTTCGGTTTGTTTCTTATTCACTGATATGCAGTTAGTGAGGTCCTTATCAGTGAGTTGAACTTTTGAAAGAAATAATACTGTTATTTGGCAAGGATGCATTGAATTGACAGTAAAGACATTTATAATGTTACAAAATGTTGCTGTTCTTTTCAACTTTCTATTCATATTCCTGACAAAAATGTTAGTTTACACAAAAACATTAAGCAGAACTTTTTCAACATTGATAATAATATGAAATGTTCATATATTTTTTTTAAATATATTAAAATACACAGCAATTTTAAATTGTAATAATATTCCACAAAATAATACTGTTTTTACTGTATTTATGATAATTGCAGCCTTGGTGAGCACGAGACTTCTATCAAAATTGAAAAAAAAAAAATGATATCAACCCCAAACTTTTGAACATTATTGTTCTTACTCTTATAAATGTTAACATAACATTTCAGTTAATAGTCATTTCAATTTCATCTGTTCCTCAAATGAAGCTGTTGTGTGGCTGATGAAGATGCAGATGCTCTTTTACGATGCATTTATGATACTTTTTTCACTCTTTTTGAAGCTTGAATGCTTCTTTTCTTTGTCTCCTAGTTCCCTGTGGAACATGAGGCTGTGACAGTTTGCTTCCTTGAAAGCTTCAGTCCCCAATTACTTGTTCTGTATTGCCAAAAACAACTGGTATAAGGTTTCTCTTTTTGTGTTCCACTTAAAAAAAAAAAAGTCACAGGTTTGGAACAACATGAGGGAAAATGAAATGAAATCACCAAATGGCAGTGTCATTGTTGTTTTCTGTTAATTGCCTGTAATAACCATTTCTGTTGTGTCTCTCACAGATGACTCAACACATGGCAGGAATGAATTTCTACGGTGCCAGTAACATGGTGGGATACGGGCAGCCCATGGACGGGGCGGCTGCTCCCGGTTCAAATCCAATGCTCGGGTCGCACGTGTGGAAGTGATGTCATAGAGAGAAAGAGAGTGGGACAGCGTGTCTGAATTGGTTGGGCTCGGTTGGCGCCACGACTGACTGACAGCAGAAGGGGAACAGATTGTAGGAGCAAACACTTTGGGGAGTTGATTAGATGATCGCAACCGAAGCATAGTCTCTACCTCCCTCATTCTCAGAGCCAGATTCTCATGCTTGCCTTCAAACAGTAACATACTCAGAGAGAGAATAGAAGTGTCATTCGCAAGGTAGAGTGTGTATTCACTCTTCAGCCGAATGTCAGCTTTGATGTTCCCAAATGATGTGTTTTTGCTACATCCGCTTGAAGATTTGGTTTTCTGTTTTCTCTTTGATCAGTGTTAAGATGCGATCACATTTACTGTTTCTAGGCGAATTTTCACAGGCAAAATCTGGTTAGGAATCTGGAATTGTTTTGCGTGAGGGCGATTGATTTCCCCTCGCAGATTTTGCTTGTGAATTTGCCACGTTGACCAACAGAAACCTGCTTGGTGTGACTTTTGTGTGAGCTGTGCTTCATACTTCACTGTTGACAATATACAATTACCCTTTTTGGCCCACAGCGTTTCGCCAAAATTACGCTAATGCAACAGCATCTTTAGTTTCAGTTAACAAAGCTTGTTTCATTTCTGAAAGACTTTTATCATATAGATATATATATGTAACAGTCTATGTCTCGTCATAAGCATGTTTGCAGTCATAAATGAACAGCTAGAAGCCATTTTAGTTAGTAAAGATCTTAAACTTTGATACTGCTGGGGAAAATATCCATTTTGTGTCTGTGCTATCAGGTTCTGCAATGATACTCTTGCATTGTCATCTTTCTAACGCACAGGGTACAGCTAAGCCACTTTGACTTTGCTTTCTGTCACATTCGCTCTCAACTCAGGAGAAATAAAGACTTGGGAGGATGAGGGTTCTCACATCCATCTCATAGCAGGACATTCACATTCAGCCAAAGATTTATTAATGCTCAGCAGTCGGCACAGATCTTTGGAATGATATGTTCTAGATGGATCCATGCTGCTGTTTGTCGTTTCAGAGCATTGCGGTTTGACCTCAAGAGTGTAATGGCACCATTGATTGTATTGTGCACTGCTTTTCTCCTCATTACTGAGTGCCAGGTCACCGCTGGCGGAGAGAACGAAATTTTGGGACACTGAGGCTGTAGTTTGGACCGAGACCAAATGAATGTTTCACTCTGACTGCTACCCGGAGAGCAGAGTTTGCCATGGCCACTGTGTGAAGTTCATTCAAAGCAGTCAGCTTGGGGTTTTATTGCGTGCTGTGTGTTTGAGCCTAACGTCTGCTTCTAAAGTAACCAAATGAGATGAGGTTCTTATTTTGTCAGCTTATTTTAAACTAGAGCATTTGAAAAGAAGAAGCTAGCACCCCTTTAAAACGGCTGATAAACAGCCTAAGATGGTTTGTTGGTCTGGTTTACTGGTTTTAGGCACTTACGGCAACTAGCCTGGCTGGGATACCAACAAGACCAGTTTAAACAAAGCTTGAACAAGACCAGAAATCTATCTTAGACTGGTTTGTGTATTATTATTATTTTTTTTTTTCAGGGTTAAGCAGTTGTACATGCATTAAACATGTCTGTGCTTTTGTGTTTAATTTTTTAGGTCATAGCCATAGAGACTCAAAATGTTCTACCCAGGAAGCGTTTTTTTTCCTCAATGACAGTGTATATAACCGTGATTTGTAAAAGCGTTCATTGCGCTAGGCTTCTCAACATTCTACAATATTTGGTTGCAGTTTTTTTACTGTAGACCTGAATGTGAAGAATTGTTTGCTATTATTATTATACTTTATGTGCTTTTTATACCTTGGTGAATATGTGGTCTGAAATGACACTGTCATTGTGGTCTTGCACATCACTGCCCTCTACTGGCCAATAAGTGATCATCAGTGATGTACAGTGGTGTTTGTATCACATCATTTGTTGTTGAATGTTTTTTTTTATTGTGCAAAAAGTTTAAATTTTAATCTGCACTGCATTTTTTAGGTTTTGTATGTTTGGTTTGTTTATTCTGATTAAATGGGACCATTCCTATCTCATAATTAGGCACACTGACGTCATACTGTATCAGTGGGCTGAAAAGTATTGCTGCTGATTGGATTCATCTGCTTTCGACCTTTCAACCTTTCACTTGAATGTATCTGTCCGGGTTTGAGTGATTTGGATCAGGCCATTTAAAGAATGTTGTAGTGCTGCTCTATGTAAAGCAATATGGGGTCCTGTTTAAAATTTGATTTACAATATTGGCACATAGGTAATCTGTAGAGAAGCAATCATTCTAGAGGTCTTCTACAAAATGCAACAGTGCACATTTCATTCAACACCTAAAATAAATGCTTTTGTTTTAAGCTAGAGGTAAATGTTAAAACCTCTATTGATGTTTTCTCAGTATGCATCAAATGTTTCCTTTTTGGAATATGGAGGGCTTGTTTTTTGACTCAAGGAAGAGACTCCGACAGCTGTGTAATGGTTTTCATCGCTCCTTTTGGTGAAACGGTGCTAAAACATCATCTGCCCGCATTACATTGTGGAGGTCTTGAACATTCTTCCTCTTGTGAACTCTCACATGCGAGGATGTAACGTCATGTAAGTGTGTTATGCTGAAGTGATCCCATCATTGTGGCTCACAGTGAATGTGTAGATACAGTATGTGGGTTACTTGCAAAGTTTGTATTTAAGTTCCTTTTCAGAAATGCATTACAAAGGCTTGAATGTGAAATAAGAAATAAACATCCTGACTGCAATTAAGCATTGTTGCATTTTCTTTAGTGGCACAAATGCAATTAATAAAATAATCATCCACACACTAGAATAAAACTCTTTGGGAGGTGTAGAAATTCTTTACAAATGAGGGTTGTGCAGTTTTATATGCATTGAAATGTATTTTATTTTCAATTTGCATATACTCATTCAACTTTTTATGTTATAATGTTAATTAGTGAATGAAGTGTTTTAGTAGAAGCAGCGATTCAACAACGGTTGTTGTAGCTGCCTGTGTGGAGAATATGTACCTGATTCGTCTATGGACAGAAGTACTGGGGCAGCCCGTTCTAATGAACAGGTTTGATTACTTTAGTAATTTCCACGAGTGCAAATCTCGAAATCAAATCTAATGTTAAAGCATATAATGACATTCTAGGGAACTGTGTGCTTCTAATTTTATAGCAACAGTTTGGACAGGACCTTTTTTTTATTCTAACATGACAATGCCTCTGTAAGGCAAGGTTCAAAAATAAATGATTGCGGAAGAATTTGACTGGTCTGCAGAAAGCCAAGTCCTAATCCCTCTGGTGTGATTTGAGGGGCTGTTTCCACCTGGTCACTTCACGTGTTTTGTCTGATCGGATAGCTATCCGATCGTGAAAAGACCAGATGTAAACAGGCCCTAAATGCAGACCTTGAGCCAAAAACTCATCACCCATGACTTGTACATATGGGTAGTCATTTTAAACATTTCCAAAACTGATGCAACAGAGATGGAAATACAATGTTTAAATACATCAATTATGTTTCCATCTTTGTTGTCACAGTTTTGGAAGTGCCTTTTTCTGTTCTAAAGAAGCAGCCATCTGCTTCCCGTGGCTCAGGACCCACCGCTGCTTAGGCACGGAGGAGGATGGGCTCGTGGGGATCGCAGGTGGATCTGGTTTGTTGTAGCAGTGAGATTCAATAGTTGCTGCCAATTGCCAGAACCACTAGGGTGCAGGGCACACAATCTGCCGGTTGGAAATTAGTAGAAGAAGGTAGGAGTTTGTCGTCCATTTAGCTTTCAAATGTAGGCTTTTTAATCACTTTTTCCTGATAAGAATTTAGGAGGTACTGTACTTTGGAATAGAAGTCTTTTACTGCCATTTAGCTTCAGCTGCCTGTTATCTCTGTCCATCTCTTTTCCATTTCTCCTCTTTGCTATAACGATGTTGTGTGCTTCACAACACAATGAACTACTCATTTAGCTGTAGGTAGGGTTGCCAACCGTTCCGTATAATATGGAATCGTCCCGTATTTAAGGCATCAAAGAAGCGTTCCGTATGAAAGCTATATGGAACGCAGTTTGTCCCGTATTAAGGCATATGCCGTATGAACACCTCCTAGACCATACGAATAACAAACTCTAAATTGAGAATGAATCATTCTTTTTTGACAAGTGACAATCCTCTGCCGGCTGGTCGCTCCCGCTTCACAGCGAGCGGGACTCGCGCTAACAGAGTTGGGTGTTTTAACGACCGCGTTTCGACTTCAGCAAATCAGCTTGCGCGAATGCAAACAACGAGATTCCAACATCCAGCCACGCAAGAAAACGTGCATTTTACCTGAGGGAAGACGTGATCAATAAGCAAAGTCATATTTCTCTAATGTATAGGCCTACACCTAGATAAAACAATTTACATTTAAGTAACTTCCAGCGTATTCTTAACCTTGAATATCATTCTTAAAACACAAAATGACCAATGAAGTGTCAAGCACCCAAAGCAGTCCATATTTATTCTATAAGTTCTCTTTAATTGAAAAATAAGCATTTTCATATATACGTAGGCCTACAGGCTATATTACACACAGGCATATCAGAAGACAGAAAGAGCTTTATTGCCAAGTATGTTTGCACATACAAGGAATTTGTTTTAGTGTCACAAGCTTCCAGTACACAGACACAACAACACAGATAATAAAAATAAAATGTGAATAAAATACACATGTACAAATATAAATAAAGTATAGGAAATTATGATCCGCACTCACGAGAACAATCTTCTTTTTTCTTTTATTTTACATTCATTACTGATGGGGAAAGACACAAACATTTCGGCTCAAAGCCTTCCTCAGTGTGAGTAAATAAAAAGATCAAGTAACGCAAGAGCGCAGTGCAAATGACGTTGTTAAATATAAATAAAGCACACACACACACAAATGATAAATATGTACAGGTGTGCTATAGATAAAATACTGTAGAATATGAATAGAATAAAAAATAAAGTTGTAGGGATGTACTAGGATGTAAAGTGATAAATAGTATAAGGCACATATTTGTATTGCACAATGGGAGAACATTTAACTGTTCATGAGGTAGATTGCCTATAGCCTATATACGTGTGTATGTGTATATATATATATATATATATATATATATACTGCCGTTCAAAAGTTTTGGATCAGTAAGACATTTAATGTTTTTTAAAGAGGTTCTTATGCTCATCAAGCCTGCATTTAATTTATCAAAAATACAGAATAAAAACTGTAATTTTGTGAAATAGCCTATTATTGCAATTTAACAAAACAGTTTTCTATTTTAATATACTTTAAAATATAATTTATTCCTGTGAAGCAAAGCTGAATATTCAGCATCATTATTCCAAATTTTAGTGTCACATGATCCTTCACAAATCATTCTAATATGCTGATTTATAATCAATGTTGGAAAAGTTGGATTGC